GCTCGCGAGCAGCGAGGACGCCGGGTGTTCCCGTGTTCCCGAAGCGCGGGTTATTCGGGAAGCGCGTTAGCCTCTCTTGAGGTTAAAATGTGCTTCTTTTCTTTCTTTTTCTTTTTCTTTTTCTTTTTTCCTTTTTTTTTTTTAACTGGCAGATGCGAATGCAAAGGGAATAAAAATGCAGAGTGGTTGCTGCGACTTTGGCTCCGAGGCGGCGGCTGGGATTTGCTCCTGTTAAACGCAAAGGCTCCTTCTACTGCACGCTGGGAGTTTGTAGTGCCCGCTCTGATTCCCCACCTCACCCCAAGTTGCTCCCTGGGTTATTCCTGTCGCTCCCGGGTTTATTCCTGTTGATCCCGGGTTTATTCCTGTTGATCCCGGGTTTATTCCTGCCAACCCCCAGCAGCTCTGTGGCCACCTCACACCGTCTCAATGAGGCACCAGCGTGTCCGATGGGACACGGCTTGTCCAGGTGGGAGCCCTGTGTTGGGCGGCGCAGGTGCAGGTCTGTGAAGCCGGAGTCCCTCCCTGCAGTCCTGAAATAAGGATCAAAACGGGGTTTAGCAAGAAATGCCTTGTTCAGCCCCCATGTCCTCCCGTGGCTTCAGGTGCTGCTGCCCCCGAAGCAGAGGGAGGGCAGATCTCTGGGGCAAAAAGGAGCTTTCCCTTCACATTTGGGGCTTATTGTTTGGTGGCTTCTTAATTCCGACCCTTTGAGACTCAGTGTGGGACGACGCCGGTAAAACCGGTGCAGTATCGGGCGGCTCAGAGCAAGGAGCCTGGCACCCTCTCCTGGTGCGCGCCGAGGTTGCTGTGGAGTGAGACGTGTGTGATTTTGCTCCTATAACCTCACGAAAAAGCATTTGGAGGGACAAAACACCGCCAAAATTTGCTTTGCCCGGGACCCCTGGCTTGCAGAAATACCCAACCGTTGCCATGTGATGTGTCACGATTAATTATTTCTGTTTCATTAATCAACTCTAACGCTGTTAGCAGTGATAATGGCAGTGTTTAGAATATACGATTTTTAAGTTGGGGTGTGTTTCTGAAAAGACATCCTTGACTCCTAATATATTGTCATCCTGATTTCAGAAAAAAGAATCAGGCTCTTAAGCCCCATATTCAGATTTTTTTTTATTATTTGCTTTGCCAAAGTAGTTCGTATCAGGGTTTGTTACACTTATGTTTTCTGAATGCTGTTATTGAATTTAGAGGTTCATTTTGGTTAATTAGCTATCGAAGATGCCAAGCTGCCAAAAAGGCTTGTGATTTCTCAATTGTGCCCAAACAGCACATCCTGTTTAGATCTTTTCAAACACTGTCTGTTTATTTTTCTCACTACTGAGAGATGGCAAAACTACTAGGCGATGAGGAACTAGGGAAATTTCATTTTTCTTTGTATATTTTAGTTGGGGGAAGGCTTCTCCTGGCTTCTTTGATGTTGGCCAACCTATGTCCTCAAGTCATATTTCAACTGACTGCTCAGTTAATTAAACTGCCATGTTCCGTTAAGAGCTTCCAACCTGCTGCTTTTTCTGCTTTCAGTCTAGGCCTCCAGGGTCTTAGGCTGACTGACGTTCTGTGGATTGGAGCTTCAGCCCTCTCTGACATCCCCAAAACAGGGATAAAATTCCAGCCCAGGTAACGTGATTGAGGCCACAGCTGCTGGTAGCTTGAAACTTTTAATTGGGGGTTTGTAATTTGGATTCTTTTTTTACTGAGGATACCCATGATCTGCACCACACCATAAAACTGTGGAAAGAAACTGGGTGAAAAATCCAGCTTTAGTGTTAGCATTGGAACTGTTATTAAACATTTCAGTGGGTCTCAGGTTTCATGCAACATTTATGTCTTTAAGTAAGTTGTAAAAGTTATGGTTGCAATTCTTCAGCTTGATCTGCAAAACTGGACCTTATCACTACAGAAAATTGCATAGAAATTAAGAGAAATCTCTGTGTCATAAACTAGAGGACCAGACCAGTTATATTAGGGTTCTTGTCACAATGCAAGTTATTACACATGCTCACAGATGGCTGGATGCAAACTTTTACGACAGAAGATATTAATTTAGTGAATTTAGTGGCTTATATTAACACTCTTCCTCCCATTCTTTTAAATTTACTCAGCTTTCAAATAATTTAATCCATTGCTAACCTATGATGTGCCTATGAATTAAATAATTCATTATGCAGAAAAGAATTCCTCAAACCAGCCTCTGGGCATATGTGTAAAGCTGTACCAAAAAGCAATAATACTATTAAATGAGAAAGAGCAGCTGCTATAGGGTGTTAATCACCTACTACATCCTGTTATGGGGATGGCTTAATTTTGGTTCTGAAGAGATCCTCATATGCCTATTATGCAACTATATGCTGTTAACATGTCTTAATTAATGAGTGTTTGCGAAGCACTTCGGAGCACGAGGACGAAAGGTGGAAAATGAATCCATGCAATGTTCAGGAATTACATAGTTTTTGCCTCCTGCAAGTCCTGTGCCACCCACAGGGTTTGCTTGGGGACAAGGCCTTTGGGACCAACCCCAGAAATGGGGCAGAAATGTCTCATCCGTGAGAAACCTAAATGGGAATTGGGCAGAAACTTAAAAGGCTTAATTCACGGAAAAGGTATACTCAGTGGGGCTTGGGGAGAGCTTTCTGGATCTGTGACTCAGTTTCCTCCTACCTAAAACAGAAATTATAAGAGCTAGAGTTTCCCCAAAATGGCTCTTCAGGACCACAACCCAGGCCAAGGCGCCTCAGCTAGTACTTCCAGGCCCCCCTTCAATATGGCCCTCACTCAATATGGCTGCCTGAGCCTCAGCCTCCCCCTTGCCCTCATCAAAGATGGACCCACCAGGCCACCGTTTAAATCCCCCCTCTTTCCCGGGACGGGGCTTCTTGCCCTCATCCAATATGGCTCTGCCCCGCGGCTTAGACGAGCCGCCTGACGCTGAGGCGGCCATGTTGAGTGAGGGGCAAGGGAGCCCCGCGGCGGCCGCGCCGCATCCCGTGATGCCTAACGCGGCGCCCGGAAGAAGGAGCGGGGCGGTTGTTGACAACATGGCGGCCGCTGGCCCCTCCGCGGGAGGAAGAGGCGGAGGGAGAGGAGGCGGCGGGCGGAGGAGGGAGCC